ATAGTTAATCAAACATCAAATACCCATATCCTGTAATAGTTAATCTAACATCAAATACCCATATTCTGTAATTGTTAATCTAACATCAAATACCCATATTATGTAATTGTTAATCTAACATCAAATATCCATATTCTGTAATAGTTAATCTAACATCAAATATCCATATCCTGTAATAGTTAATCTAACATCAAATACCCATATTCTGTAATGGTTAATCTAACATCAAATATCCATATCCTGTAATAGTTAATCTAACATCAAATACCCATATTCTGTAATGGTTAATCTAACATCAAATATCCATATCCTGTAATGGTTAATCTAACATCAAATATCCATATCCTGTAATAGTTAATCTAACATCAAATACCCATATTCTGTAATGGTTAATCTAACATCAAATATCCATATCCTGTAATGGTTAATCTAACATCAAATATCCATATCCTGTAATGGTTAATCTAACATCAAATATCCATATCCTGTAATGGTTAATCTAACATCAAATATCCATATCCTGTAATGGTTAATCTAACATCAAATACCCATATTCTGTAATGGTTAATCTAACATCAAATATCCATATCCTGTAATGGTTAATCTAACATCAAATATCCATATCCTGTAATAGTTAATCAAACATCAAATACCCATATCCTGTAATAGTTAATCTAACATCAAATACCCATATTCTGTAATTGTTAATCTAACATCAAATACCCATATTATGTAATTGTTAATCTAACATCAAATATCCATATTCTGTAATAGTTAATCTAACATCAAATATCCATATCCTGTAATAGTTAATCTAACATCAAATACCCATATTCTGTAATGGTTAATCTAACATCAAATATCCATATCCTGTAATAGTTAATCTAACATCAAATACCCATATTCTGTAATGGTTAATCTAACATCAAATATCCATATCCTGTAATGGTTAATCTAACATCAAATATCCATATCCTGTAATAGTTAATCTAACATCAAATATCCATATTCTGTAATGGTTAATCTAACATCAAATATCCATATCCTGTAATAGTTAATCTAACATCAAATACCCATATTCTGTAATGGTTAATCTAACATCAAATATCCATATCCTGTAATAGTTAATCTAACATCAAATATCCATATTCTGTAATGGTTAATCTAACATCAAATATCCATATCCTGTAATAGTTAATCTAACATCAAATACCCATATTCTGTAATGGTTAATCTAACATCAAATATCCATATCCTGTAATGGTTAATCTAACATCAAATATCCATATCCTGTAATAGTTAATCTAACATCAAATACCCATATTCTGTAATGGTTAATCTAACATCAAATATCCATATCCTGTAATAGTTAATCTAACATCAAATACCCATATCCTGTAATAGTTAATCTAACATCAAATACCCATATTCTGTAATTGTTAATCTAACATCAAATATCCATATCCTGTAATAGTTAATCTAACATCAAATACCCATATTCTGTAATAGTTAATCTAACATCAAATACCCATATCCTGTAATAGTTAATCTAACATCAAATACCCATATTCTGTAATAGTTAATCTAACATCAAATACCCATATCCTGTAATAGTTAATCTAACATCAAATACCCATATTCTGTAATTGTTAATCTAACATCAAATATCCATATCCTGTAATAGTTAATCTAACATCAAATACCCATATTCTGTAATGGTTAATCTAACATCAAATATCCATATCCTGTAATGGTTAATCTAACATCAAATATCCATATCCTGTAATAGTTAATCTAACATCAAATACCCATATTCTGTAATGGTTAATCTAACATCAAATATCCATATCCTGTAATGGTTAATCTAACATCAAATATCCATATCCTGTAATAGTTAATCTAACATCAAATACCCATATTCTGTAATGGTTAATCTAACATCAAATATCCATATCCTGTAATAGTTAATCAAACATCAAATACCCATATCCTGTAATAGTTAATCTAACATCAAATACCCATATTCTGTAATTGTTAATCTAACATCAAATACCCATATTATGTAATTGTTAATCTAACATCAAATATCCATATTCTGTAATAGTTAATCTAACATCAAATATCCATATCCTGTAATAGTTAATCTAACATCAAATACCCATATTCTGTAATGGTTAATCTAACATCAAATATCCATATCCTGTAATAGTTAATCTAACATCAAATACCCATATTCTGTAATGGTTAATCTAACATCAAATATCCATATCCTGTAATGGTTAATCGAACATCAAATATCCATATCCTGTAATAGTTAATCTAACATCAAATATCCATATTCTGTAATAGTTAATCTAACATCAAATATCCATATCCTGTAATAGTTAATCTAACATCAAATATCCATATTCTGTAATAGTTAATCTAACATCAAATACCCATATCCTGTAATGGTTAATCTAACATCAAATATCCATATCCTGTAATAGTTAATCTAACATCAAATATCCATATCCTGTAATAGTTAATCTAACATCAAATACCCATATTCTGTAATGGTTAATCTAACATCAAATATCCATATTCTGTAATAGTTAATCTAACATCAAATATCCATATCCTGTAATAGTTAATCTAACATCAAATATCCATATTCTGTAATGGTTAATCTAACATCAAATACCCATATTCTGTAATGGTTAATCAAACATCAAATACCCATATCCTGTAATAGTTAATCTAACATCAAATATCCATATTCTGTAATAGTTAATCTAACATCAAATACCCATATCCTGTAATGGTTAATCTAACATCAAATATCCATATCCTGTAATAGTTAATCTAACATCAAATATACATATCCTGTAATAGTTAATCTAACATCAAATACCCATATCCTGTAATGGTTAATCTAACATCAAATATCCATATCCTGTAATAGTTAATCTAACATCAAATATCCATATCCTGTAATGGTTAATCTAACATCAAATATCCATATCTTGTAATAGTTAATCGAACATCAAATACCCATATTCTGTAATGGTTAATCTAAAATCAAATACCGATGAAATTTCAGTGCCCTCTTTCTACCATCCTATATCCAATGATCTGCTCCACCAGGAGACCTGCTAGTCTTTAGCGTGCCTTGTGGATATTGGATTTCCACAACCAATGTGTTCTCTGTAAAAAATGTACTTAATGTGAAGCTAGCTTACCCTTTAGTGAAAAATGATATTGTTTTGGTCAACGCTATATGCCACGATACTTCTCAAGAAACGTCTCAAAGTTTCATTGCAAGCCTCTCAACTTGTAATCAGTGGCGTATTCATAAGAAACACATTTTTAAGGCATTTATTTGACACACAGAGCTGAAAAAAGGGGGCTGGGTGGGGTGGTTGCGGTGCGAAGGTGTCATTTATCTCCCTTTTCTCAAGCTTGGGAGAGCTCTGAAATCCACATCTATTAAACAAAACATCTATAAATACTAACATCTCTTGTTCATATTTCGGTTCTGGTGAGTTAGGCTTCCTCTTTAAAATCGCCGACCCCGATTCCACACGTTAAATATTAGTAGTACTGATTGGAAAGAAAAAAAAAGACTGACACGGCAAACTTTAATGCGTGACTAAATGAACTCCAGTAAACAGGTTGCTATTTTCGTTATTTCGGCTGATGTTTCATGTAAATCTTTGTTATATAGTGAACGACATTCTTTCAACGGGTTTTTGTACAACTTCATCTCTATTCCATGATCCGGCAACTGGCTGTTCTTATCAGTGGGTTCTTTCCTGAGACAAATGGTTGACGAAGGCAATGAACTTTCACTAAGATGTATAGGGAAGTAGAATTCATTGCATATTATAGAAATGAGAAGTTAACTTTATTTTGTAACATTTGGACCCACCCGGACCCAGTGTATAAAACTGAACTAGTAATGCGCACAAATGCAACAGGTCACAGGCCTTCCTCCTGGACGCTACCTATAATTGCCACAGTAGTAGCACTGCTTCGTGACCAATTGAATTAAAAGAAATAATATTTGTACTCTTTGTAGTTATGCAAAGAAAATAGCAGAAAATATTATTTTTCATCGATCAGCCATGCGTCCACTGGGTGGAGAAGAACACGATCCTAAACACCTTTTCAAAATGTTGGCTAAAGTGTTTTTGAAACGTGTTAAAAAGAAATTAATAATTTTTCATGATTAAATCTCAAAAATGAACCCTGACTATTAAACCTCAATTATTTTCATTCTCAGATGAGAAAGAAGCAACCCTCCATCTTTGTTTGAAACCTCTGAAATTACTGCAAATATCAGATTGCTTTCTCGAGCGGTTCAACTAGTTAAATGAGAGGAGGATTCATTTAGTGTGGATGTTTGTCAAGTTTTAGTTGCACGTGTGAACCTCAAAGTCTTGGTTAACATCACAGAAAAAGGCCGGCGAAGTGTATCCGAATTGTTTAAAACACTGGCATTTTTTCTTTGGAACACCAACAACACAACAACGATGATTAAATCATCTTGATTTTTATATATTTCGTAAGAGAAAGAAAAAGCGGCAAAGACATTCAGATAGCCATTAAACTACGGGGCCAATTTTCGTCCCGACAATTCTATTCGCATTGAACTGCTGGAGACGAAAAAAACAAGTGGATCCGTTGAGAAGACGTTAAATTCATCGCAGCTCGCAAAGTCGCCATGTCTGAGCTCAGTGGAGACCATCAGGACGATTACGATGGCTCTGCATTAGACGTGGCGCTACGAACTGAACAGATAGACTGTGCTCAGGTGCTGTTGGCGAATGGAGCAAAGATTAACCAGGAGTCTGCAGTCTGGAACGCCGTGGTTGAAGGGAAGACGAAAACTTTGAATTTCTTGCTGCGAAACTTTCCAAACTGTGCCAAGGATGTTTTGCTTCACATTCCTATTGACAAAGGTCACATTGAAATCGTCGCAATACTTCTGGACGCTGGCGTGGATGTTAACTATGTGTATTACAACAAGACTCCGTTAATGGAAGCCTATCATCATGAAATAATTAATATGCTTTTAAAGAAAGGCTGTGGCGTCAACCTAAAAACGGATACAACAGCTCTTATTAACTTATTGTCGAACGAATACATCAGAAACCTCAAGGAGAAATTTCACTTAGTCAGTCCACATGAAACCAGTGACGTACGAGTTTTTCTTTATCTTGAGGAGATTATGTCTAGCCTTTTGAAATACGGTGCGAATGTCAACGCGAGTAACGACGACGGCAACACTGCCCTGATGGTAGGATCAGTCCTAGAAGGGGCTCAAGGGATCCTCAAATTGTTAGTAGACAACGGTGCCGACATCAACAGCCGGGATGCATTCGGAAGATATGCCGCTCTTCACCAGGCCGTATATTCTGGTCGTAAAGAAAATGTTAAGATACTACTTGAGTCAGGCGCTGATGTCAATCTGAGAGACGGGGACGACTCAACTGCCATACATTTAGCCGTAAAATTGTATGGCGCAAGTGAAAGCCTAAACATTCTTTTGGAGCATGGCGCCGACGTTAATGACGAAGACAACGAAGGAAATACCCCTTTAATGGTACACCCAGCGGTATATTATAGCACCGAAAATGTCATCAGGACATTAGTCCAGGCAGGTAGCAGTGTCAATCATCGAAATAAATCTGGCATGACAGTGTTAATGATGTTTGCAAACGAATGTGACAAGGACATTTTGAAAGTTTTATTAGACTTCGGCGCGGATATTAACGCTGAAGTCTCTGACAGTGTTGGTAAGAAAACTGCCTTGTCAATTCTTCTGGCTGAAAAATATTTACCTGGACGAGATGATTGTTTGGAGGCAGCTGAATTTATGCTTGACCATGGCGCAACGGCTCGTCATGTCAATCCAAGCATCATTCACCGAGCCATTGCCAACAGTCATGAAAAATTTGTGCAAAAATTGATCCAAGGGGGAGTGGCTCCTCAGGATATTTATCTGGAAAGTGATCACATTTGGCCAACAGGAGTTGTGTCTCCATTGAGTATTGCTCTGTATACGAATAAAGTGAGACTCGCTCGTCATTTTATAGACAATTGGTATCTTACCAAATCTGATATATGTAATCTCTCAAGGAATGAGTCAATCATATTTTTCATGGATTTGAATCGTAACACTGAGTGTTCAACTTTACTAAATGAAATTCACCCGCTGTCCTTGACCTTGCTCAGCTTTATCACCGTGTCCACTTTCATTGGTCTCGGCCCTGACAGAGCAGAGAGAATCGAAGAGACTCAACTTCCGTGGGTGTTTAAAGACCGGTTACTCTTCCCCAACGTATGTTTCGAAGCAGAAGATGGAATGAACAGATCCATAAAAGTTCTGCATTATTTGTCACAACATTCACCTCTTAATGACATGGAAAAGGAATGTTACGTTTTAAAAGATTTGACAGTTTCAGCAGATAATGATGATGATGATTCCAGCATATATTCTTCTTACAGCGATTGACATATGCTTTAATGACGTTATTAACCTAAGGTGACCGTTTCCTTTAAGTTTAAAACCAGGTAACCCTTATAACGTTTTGACACTATTAGGGTACAAATAAAGATACAATTGATTCCACCTATAATATGAACTTTTTTTTTGTTCGTTGCAGTTCTTAAAGAATACTATTTTGTGTCAGAGTAGTGAGGCATAGAAATAAATGTAGTTGAGCAGTAGCTTTGAGAGCACTAATAATTTATTAAACAAAAAAAAAACCGTTGGTAAGATTTATTCTTATGTCATCTTCTATAAAAACTTAATGTGCTATGACTGAACTGTATTTAACCATCATTCTTTGTTTCATCAGATATGAACCTAATTATGTGTAGATTTATGGATGAATAAATAAGTGATATGTGAATTTTTTTGACATCGCATAGTTACAGTTGTGATGAATTATTTGTAATTGAACACTTAACTGATATTTCTAGCGGTATCCCCTCTGGTCAGCTTGTAACTGTAGCAGTGATAGATATCATGACAAAAAGAAAGGTTACAGGACCGATAGTTCTCTTATTCTGTGAAGTCTTCTTTTGAATGAAACAATATTTTGATTCTAATTTGGATGAATTATATATGCTTAAATTGACTTATTTGTTAATGCCTTGTTTTCAGATTTAAACTATCTTTGGTTAAAATACTTTTTTTTCCTCAATTTTCTTTTAGTCATTAACTGTAAAAATTTTAAATCATAACTAACCAGGAGAAATATTTCGAAAACAATAATGTGCGAGTAAAAGCAATAACAATATAACACAGAAGTTTAACCCAGATGTGAGCCTTGGACATTGTGTTGGTGAGTCCTTGACATAGTGCTGGTGAGTCCTGAACTTATTGCTGGTGACTCCTGGACATACTGCTGGTGAGTCCTGGACATACTTCCTGTGAGTCCTGGACATACTGCTGGTGAAACCTGGACATACTTCCTGTGAGTCCTAGACATACTGCTGGTGAGTCCTGGACATACTGCTGGTGAAACCTGGATATACTTCCTGTGAGTCCTGGACATACTGCTGGTGAAACCTGGACATACTTCCTGTGAGTCCTGGACATACTGCTGGTGAGTCCTGAACATACCGTTGGTGAGTCCTGGACATACTGCTGGTGAAACCTGGATATACTTCCTGTGAGTCCTGGACATACTGCTGGTGAAACCTGGACATACTTCCTGTGAGTCCTAGACATACTGCTTGTGAGTCCTGGACATACTGCTGGTGAGTCCTGGACATACTGCTGGGGAAACCTGGACATACTTCCTGTGAGTCCTAGACATACTGCTGGTGAGTCCTGGACATACTGCTGGTGAGTCCTGGACATACCGCTGGTGAGTCCTGGACATACCGCTGGTGAGTCCTGGACATACTGCTGGTGAGTCCTGGACATAGTAAAGCGTTCTTCATCCGTCGTACATATCAACAGCTGACGAGGAGCATATGTTTTTTTTAAAGACTGCTTTGTCCCTGGAAGACTTCTGTTGGTTGTTGCATTAAGTTATTGTTGCATACATTATTAATTGAATTCCTATTTAATATTGATTTTTTGTATAAAGTAAAGAAACTGTCCTTTTTTATAAAATTTAAAAAAAAAGATACTTTATCGAAAATAATAGCATTCACTTGATTATGTAAATAAAATATTTTTTAAAAATCTGGTTTTTTAAAACACGAAAAGGAAATTAAATCATGTAGTATGCTGTTATGCCTATTTGTGTTTTTATTTGGAACTTTGTTATTCTCTTATGTTCTCAATACTAAATATTGGCATTTTTTCAAAAGACTTGGTAAGAAAATGTGACAAAATAAATGCCATTTTTAGTGTCATTGTTTTAATTTAAATACTTGTTCAAAATACAATTTTAAAAAAATATATATATTTTAGTTGAAGATGTCACAAGGGACTGTTAAGCCATATGTGCGGGCCTAATTTTAGACAACATCACGTGTCACCCCTTTGTTCGGCTTGGACTTGCGTCACCCAATACATTTGCTGGGAAAAGGTTGTCTACTGTCGAGTATTTTTTTTTTTTTTTAAAGAATTCTATAAGGCAACGCAATTACTAAAATTTCTTTACCAACTGCTCCTCATTTAATAACTTAATAGAGGCCGACAGCTTTTTAGCTGGGTCAGAGATTTTTTACTATACCTACCAACATAAACGAAAAGTTATACTAATACCAGTTACTACTCATTATGTGTCTGTGTGTGTCTGTAGATTAGTGACGGTATTCTTTTATGTTTGTAACCTTTAACATGATGTGTTGTCAGATGATATCGTCTTTTGTTTCTGTAAATTTGAATTTGTATAGAAATTTATTATGATAACTAAACTGAATAGTGTTAATAACACTATGTTTGGTGTCGGTGTTCCTTTATATACCGGTTTTCCATCGTTTGTCACGTAATGTTCATTCTAGAAGCCAAATCTTAAAACAGATTAATAATTCAAAAGCATAACGGTTCTCAGTGCCAGGGCAATGTGGCGGCAACTGAGGCAGTTGCTAAGGGCGAAATGTGTTTTGGGCGCCATCGCCAATCTTCCAAATAGGAAAAAAGCATTGCATGTGGGCACCTTGGAAGAAACATTGAAATTGCAATAAAAATGTCTGCTCTTATAAAGGCTAGAAAAAATGCCATCGTTAAGCTAATTGTTCATAATGTCCACGGTAGGCTAATTGTTCAAAATGTCCACAGTAGGGTAATTGTTCATAATGTCCACGGTAGGCTAATTGTTCGTATTGTCCACGGTAGGCAAATTGTTCATAATGTCCACCGTAGGCTAATTGTTCATAATGTCCACGATAGGCTAATTGTTCATAATGTCCACGGTAGGCTAATTGTTCAAAATGTCCACGGAAGGCTAATTGTTCATAATGTCCACGGTAGGCTAATTGTTGATAATGTACACGGTTGGCTAATTGTTCATAATGTCAACGGTAGGCTAATTCTTCAAAATGTCCACGGTAGGCTAACTGATCATTATGTCCACAGTTGGCTAATTGTTCATAATGACCACGGTAGGCTAATTTTTCATAATGTCCACGGTGGCTTATTGTTCATATAGTCCACGGTAGGGTAATTGTTCAAAATGTCCACGGTAGGCTAATTTTTCATAATGTACACGGTAGGCTAATTGTTCTTTATGTCCACGGTAGGCAAATTGTTCATAATGTCCACGGTAGGCTAATTGTTCAAAATGTCCACGGTAGGCTAATTGTTCATAATATCCACGGTAGGCCAATTGTGAGTCAAAAGGTAAGAAAAACACCATAATTGTTAAATAAACACATTAACTAATCCCTAGTTTGTGCTTGAATTTATTTTTATGTTTACAGTTAACGGAGGCACATAAGTTAACTTTGCCCCGGGGCGCCATCAGCTGTAGGGCCGGCCATGACGTGACTAAACTTACCATCCAAAGTTCTCGAAGAGGGAATGGTCGATTTCCAAGACCTTAGCACATGTGTCTCGGCAGAATGTTCTTGTAGTCTACATTTTGACATGATCGAAATATTACAAACATTTTTTTAAAATTTAAATTATGGCAGATAACCATTGGAGAACGTAAATGGACCGTGGTTGCAGTGCTATCTCAGCTATCGTGTTATATTTTCGCTTTTGGGACTTATTCCTTGATTCGCGGATCAAAGAATTTTGGATTGTGTGAATTCGATTGTGTGTCGATTGACTAAAAAGAAGAAAAAAAAAAGGCTTTCTCAATTTTACATAACTGTTACATACACAGTTAAGCTTTAGTATGGGTTAAATAATCAAAGGGAGGATAACTAATAATTTATACTTTCCTCTTGGGTCCTTTGCGTTTTTCATACATATTAATGGTAGGTTCGGAGCACAATCGGGAGTTTAAAATATATTTTTTTAGTTACATACATATTTGAAATCATAATATGACAAAATAAAATCGGTAGTAAATTTTCATGTTGTCAGGTATTGGAGAATTGTCATAGTGCTGTCAGTTTTATACCGTTGAGCACCAGCCATCGGTAGAAAGACTTTCATTAATAGAGCATGAAATTCATTTTCATCTGATTAGGATTTTGAACAAGTTTGTAAAATGACATGGTTAAAAAAATAAGCTAACTATAGGCCCAAGGCTTATTAATTTTTGCAAACGGTATTGTCTTCATCACCCGTTGGTGTCGAGAAATTTCCCATCAATAGGAACAAACATTTGCGGGATCCCGGAATAAAGATGACGTTATGCGCATGAAGCTAGCTGTCTGACAGAGGAACACGAGCAATAACAATACCGAATAATAGTTCCCTCCCACTAAAGAAACAATCAACCTATTTCAACCTAGGGAGAGTATGAACAAAAGGGAGAGTATGAACAAAAGGGAGAGTATGAACAAAAGGGAGAGTATGAACAAAACGGAGAGTATGAACAATAGGGAGAGTATGAACAATAGGGAGAACATGAACAATAGGGATAATATGAACAATAGGGAGATATGAATAATAAGGAGAACATGAACAATAGGGAGAATATGAAAAATAGGGAGAATATGAACAATAGGGAGAATATGAACAATAGTGAGAACCTAAACAATGTGAAGAATATGAACAATAAGGAGAACATGAAAAATAGGGAGAATATGAACAATAGAGAGTTCAGACGTACGAGGCTCGCTGCGTGGAAGCTTTTCTTCTTTTCCATTATTTAAAACGGGCGTGTTTGGTGGCGTGAAAATTATGCAAATATATGTTAATGATGTGTGCAGATACTTGTAAGACCGGGTTTTTCATTGGTGCTTATTTGTTCTAAAACAAATTTAAAAACTAAATTGTTTCATTTGTTGAGGCGATTTTATTAAGCCATATATACAATTATTGTGTTGTATATACAATTATTGTGTTGTTAACAATGACCCTGTAAAGTCATAAGAATTAGTTTCGAATTCAAGTTTAATCTAGGTAAAAATTTTGGACCTTGAAGGGCTTAAGCGGTGGGATGACAGGTTGATTTTTGTTAGTTTTAAGTGTAACGGTACAGGTCTTGGCAGAGTGTTTGTATATCCTACATAATCGTTGACGATCGAAATATTACTATCAAAGTTTATCTTCATATTATTGTAGATGACTTATCCTGAACGTAAATGGACCGTGGTTGCTGTGTTATCTGTGCTATCATTTCTTCAGATTGCGTTTAGGATGTATTCCTTGCTTCGCGGATTACTTCAGTTCGTCATGAATGAGTTATTGGAGAATGATAACGCCATGACATTGATACGACACATTACACTTCCAAACATTATGTTCAAAGCTACGAAAGTTATAATCCTTACACTTTTTGGGATCTCACACTAGCACGGTTTTATAATCGTACGATTGTGTAAGTATAATGTTAATGTGGGCTAAATTCATAATTTATGAATTTTATACATTTTTGTGAGTGAATTAAATGCATTTTCCCACGTTCGCCCCCATGTGTTCTGACTTACATTGAACGCTTTCACTGACGCTTTCATTTAGGTTGTTTTTATAACGTTGTATCAGTCCTCCACACATACTCGAGCTCACCTCGAAATATTCTTTTAGAAAGTGATCGTCTGACATGTTCTGCCCGGCGAAGCTGGGACTGCCTTAAAATTGTATAAAACTGGAGAGTCTTGACTGTGCGGGTACCTAGGTGCCTTAATCAGTGAATTATTCAGAGGAAACAATTTTTTTCTAAAGCAGTTATTTGACACATCTCAACTGTTTTTCTGGCATCCGTCCGTCACAATGTGATGGTGGAGCAGGACGCAATCACAAGGTCTGGAATTTTATTCTGTTGGATCATAAGCTTTTTTTTCTCTTGACAACAAATCACCTCTCTCCACGCAACTGGATAACCTAAGGGAACACCCTATCTGGATGATACACCTCGGCACCGGTAGCGTCGCAGGAGTTGTCGGAATTTTCTTTTGTAATTCGTCAACGGTTTTCAATTCAGAGTTTCCTTCTCTTAGATGAGTTGCCTTCTAAGGTTAATGGGTCCCAATTGCTGTGTCTGGGAATGGTGACCTCATTTTGGCATCGGTTTCGGCTCCGAAAGTTGCCATTTGATCGCTTTCGGCCAAGTTTCGGTTTGGGCCGAAACAGGAACGTTAACTTTCGATTTAATTTAGGTTTCGGAAGAAACAGAAAAATTAGGTCTCGGTTTATTTTCGGTTTTGGTCGAAAGTGATCGAGACTCTCGGCCATGTGGCTGAAAGTTATTGTAGTTTTCATTCATCTACCAGAAGTCAGACTATCTATCTCTAGGCCAGCAATCCGAATTTTCATTATTGCTCGACGTCTTGCTGTAATTGTATGTTACATGCCGTATACCCTGCGAAAACTGTTCACAGCCGCATGATGACTCACTTGACCTTTATTTCTAAAAACTAAATTTCAATTAGGCCTGGGAAAATGTAGCTAGTTTTGTTGAAGAAAAACTAATGGAACTGTAATATAGTTATATCATTGTTTTATTTGTTTTATTTTTAAAAAAAATAATTGGTATCCTAGTTTTATTCAAGTCATTCATTTGTGATATTCATTTTAATTGATCATTATCGTGCTCATCCTAAATGACCCTAGAGATCGGCAATATTTCCAAAATTATTTTTGTTTTCTTTTTTAAAATAATTAAGGCAAATTAGTCTTTTTCAATTCATTCATTTCTTGAAATTCACCATTATCATGCTCATAAACAGTGATATTGACGAACTGCCACGAGTGTGCTTGTATCACGGGTTCATATAATAATTATGTAGTAGACCTAATGCAGACCTGTTTACTTTTATGATTTTGGCAAACAATTTAGACGCCTTTTGCGATTCTGCGTCGAGACCCGTTAAACAACAATTTTAAGAGGCACGGTTAAACAAAATAGTTTTTTTCCCCACCCATGGCGTTGAGGGAGCTCAGCCACCGAACGAAATAATATCGTCACCAGCACGGAAAAACTAATGTGTTGGTACTAGGTTAAATATTAAAACAACGATATCTTGCCAGCGATTTATGAAAACACAAAGCATTAATATGAGGATAACCGCGAAAAATTTTGTGGCGATATTTCTATAGCGCCTTGCTAACAAGTATTTAGGTGACAATGGGCTCTATTAGAGCCAAAATAGTTTTTGCAGATATATGTCTAGGTAGCGTTGTAATTATATTAAAAAGCAAAACGACATTAAAGGGTCTATTTTGCATGACCTCCCCCCCCCCCCCCAGGCCAGATTTTCTCTTACCATCTCTATATTAAAATACAAATTTAAGCAATTTAAATTACTTTTTAATTAAAAAGTTAAAGCCAATGTATTTATTCAACTTTTATTTATTAATATCAACGATGATCCCATTTTTTATAAAAAAGAATTTAAATACTATCCTTTACCCCACCATTTTCAATGTAGGCGTGAACAAATTGCAAAATATCTAAGTATTTCGGCTTCGGTTTCGGCGAAAAGTCTCGTTAAGCTTTTGGTTTCGTCTTCTGTTTCGGACGAGAGTTATTTTTTTACCGTCGGTCTAGATTCCGTTTCGGCTGAAATCACAAAATCAAGTTGGATCGGTCTCTAAACTCAAGACCACAAGAATTGGATCGACTCATTTGAGACCCCTCAGCCACCCAGCACCAAAAACCCCCACCTCTGTCTCATCACCTACAAGGGCTTTCATTTGATTGAAGTACATGTGGAACAAGGAAATTTCGAATAGTGTGCCAGTGTGTGTTAAACTCAGTTACAAGTTGAAATTCTAACATATAAGTAATGTAAACGATTAGTTGATAAACTCATTAACAAGGTATATTTCTAATAGGAGTAGTAAAATTTATTATTAGCCATACGGCCATGTGAAAGCTTGGGATATGATTGCGGTGCGAAGGTATAATTCATCCCATAATCTCAATCTTAAGAGAACACTGAAATCCCCCATTTGTATACAAAACTTATATACGTATTGACATCTTATATATATATATATATATATATATATATATTGCTTCTAGTGCGTCCTGCTTCCTCTTCCCTTGTCAAAATACCCGAACTTGTAAAAAAAACTTCACCCCGTTAAGCCCTAGTACATACGTATTGAGCACGGGGGAGCCAAGTTTGAGGCCTTCAACCCGGACAATGACTATGCTTGCCACTATTTATTGACTAATAATATTAGAAGTATTAATATTGATAATCTGGGATTAATGCACCGTAAGTAGTATTAGTAGTACTAAAATAGTAATAAGACTGAAAATATTATTTTCATCGATCAGCCATATGTCCACTGGGTGCAGAAGAACCAGATCTTATACTCCTTTTTCAAAATTATGGCTTAAGTGTTTTGTAACGTGTTAAAAATAATTAATCATTTGATTGGATCTCAAAAGTAAACGCTGAATATTAAACCTCCCTTATTCTCAATCGTATATTCACAGATGAGAAAGAAACAGCTCTCCATCTTGATGAGAAATCTCCGAGCTCGCTGCAAACATCAGATTGTTGTTTCGAACGGTTCAACGAATTTATTGAGAGTAAGATTCACTTAGTGTGGATGTTTGTAAAGTTTTAGTTGCAAGTGTGGAACTCAAAGTCTTGGTTAAGAGCACAGGAGCAGGCCGGCAAAGTGTCTCTGACCGAATACGTATCGGGAGAATTGGTTAAAACTGAAAAAAAAAATGGCAACTCTCGTTGTATGGATCCCGCCTTATGCCGTTAAAATGTGTCTATGATTTGCATAACACACTGGCAATTTCCTTGCATACACCAATCATACAACAACGATAATAACATCACCTTGTTTTTTGTATATGTAGTAAGAGAAAGAAAAAGAGTCAAAGACATTGAGATCGCCATTAAACTATTGGAACAATTTACAACCCAGCAATTATATTTGCATGGAACTGTTGGAGGCGAAAAACTGGTGGATTCATTCAGAAGATGCTACTTAGATAGCATCTCTCAAAGTCACCATGTATAAGCTTAGAAAGGATCATCCGGACGATTACGAAGGCTCCTCATTAGATGTGGCGCTACGAAATGAACAAATAGACTGTGCTCAGGTGCTATTGGTGAATGGAGCAAAGATCGACCAAGAGTTTGCAGTCTGGCACGCTGGGGTAGAAGGGAAGACAAGAACTTTACATTTCTTGATGCGAAACTTTCCAAACTGTGCCAATAATGCTATGATGAATGATAGAAAAGATTTGCTGCATGTTGCTGTGGAGAAGGGACACAATCAAATTGTTGCTTTACTTCTGGACGCTGGCGTGGATGTTAACTATGTTCATAACAAGAAGACCCCGTTGATGGTTGCCTATCATCATGAGATGATAGAACTGCTTTTGAATCGAGGCTGTGTCGTCAACATCAAAACTGATACCACCGCACTTATTAACGTATTGTCGGACGAATATATCACAAAACTCAAAGAGAAATTTCACTTTATGAAACCACATGAAAATAGTAATGTAAATGTTTTTCTTTACGTACAGGAAATTATGTCCATCCTTCTGAAATACGGTTCAAATATCAACTCGAGTAACGACGACGGTCGCACTGCGCTGATGGTGGGATCAGAAATAGAAGGGACCCTAGGCATCCTTAAATTGTTGGTAGACAACGGTGCCGACATCAACCTCAGGGATACAGACGGAAATGCAGCACTCCATCGAGCCGTGCATTCTGGTCGAACAGAAAATGTCAAGTTATTACTTGAGTCAGGCGCTGATGTCAATTTAAGAGACGCGATCGGCTCCACTCCCTTACATTACGCCATGGAGAGCTGTGGTGCAAGTGAAAGCCTTAACATTCTGTTGGAGCATGGCGCTGATGTTAATGCCCAAGACAACCAAGGAAATACCCCTTTGATGATCTTAAGCAATATATGTTTTTTTAGCACCGAAAATGTCATCAGGACATTAGTCAAGGCAGGTAGCAGTGTCAATCAACGAAATAAATCTGGCATGACAGTGTTAATGATGTTTGTACACGAATGTGACAAGGACATTTTACACATTTTATTAGACTCTGGCGCAGATATTAACGCTGAAGTGTCTGACATTGTTGGTAAGAAAACTGCCTTGTCAATTCTTCTGGCGGAAAAAAATTTACCTGGACGAGATGATTGTTTGGAGGCAGCTGAATTTATGCTTGACCATGGCGCAACGGCACGGCATGTCAAGCCAAGCATCATTCACCGAGCCGTTGCCAACAGTCATGAAAGATTTGTGCAAAAATTGATCCAAGGGGGACTAGCTCCTCAGGATATTTATCTGGAAAGTAATCGTATTTGGCCAACAGGAGTTGTGTCTCCATTGAGTATTGCTCTGTATACGAATAATGTGAGACTCGCTCGTCATTTCATAGGCAATTGGTATCTTACCAAATCTGATATATGCAATCTCTCCAGGAACGGGTCAATCATAATATGGTTCATGGATTTGTATAAGAACTCTGAATGTTTATCTTTAATACAAGAGTCACAGCCGCTGTCCTTGACCTTGCTCAGTTTTATCGCCGTGTCCACTTCCATTGGTGTCGGCCATGATAGAGGGAAGAGAATCGAAGCAACTCAACTTCCATGGGATCTTAAAGACCGGTTACTCTTCCGCAACGTACGTTTCGATGCAGAAGATGGTAACAAAGAACACTTGAAAGTTATACATTATTTGGCCAAACGTTCACCTCTTAATGACTATGAAATGACAAATTTCGTTTTTACAGATTCGGAAGTTTCAGAAGATGATGATGATGATTCAAATGCATATTCTTCTGACAGCGATTGACATATACCTCAATGACGTCGTTAACCTAAGGAGACCATTTCCTTTAATTTTAAAACAAGGACACTTAAAATATTATCACACCAGATATACATTTTTTTTTGTGATTACGCCTTCAATATGATATTTGTTGATATTTTGCAATTGAGTAAAAAGCACTATTTAGTGACAGAGTAGTAATGCATAGATGTAAATATAGATAAGCAGGAACTACTAGGACAGCCATATTGAATTTAATTTAAAAAAAAAAAACAGTTGGTAAGATTTGTTCTCATGGTATTTTCTAAAAGAAATTGGCGTACTTTGAACTCTATTTAATCTTTAATCATCATTCAATTATTCGTCAGAAGTGAAGCTAACTATGTGTAGTTTTATATGGAAATAAATAAGTGAAATGTGAATTCTTGTACTTCGTGTTATGATACCTGTGATAAGTTATTTGTAGTTAAAACCTCTAACTGATATTCATTGGGGTCTCCCCTCATGTCATAACAACTTAAATCAGCAGTAATGACATCAGTAATAAGAAAAAAAGATTTTTAACTCTTTTTTTTCGGTGAAGCCTTAAATTCTTTTGAAAACAAATATAGTGATGGGAATTTGGATGACCGATAAATACGTATATTTGACTCATTTCTAAATGCCTGGAAATCACATGTACTCTTATAGTGTGTTAAAAAAAATTTTTTTAAACATTTATTTTATTAAATAACTTTGCCAGTTACAACTCATAACTAGCCAGGAAAAATTAAAAAAAAACACACAAAAAAAAAAAAACAGTAATGTGCGAGTAAAAAAGGATAACCACATAGATTGGACATAGTGCTGGTGAGCCCTGGACTGGACAGAGCGCTGAGTTCCTCATCGGTTGTACCTTGTAACAGCTTTCGAGGGTAGCTTGTGTTCTTCTTTTACATTGATTGTGTGTTAGGATAGCAACGTGGACATTAATTATTAAAATCCTTTTCAATATTGCTTTTTTTTTTTTTAAAATTTAAAAACTGTCTTCTTTAAGTTTAAGAAATTCAAAAAAAAAGGATACTTAATCGAAAATAATATATTTTAAAATTTTCGATTACATATATAAAAAAAAAAAAAAAAAAATAAAAAAAAAAAAACTTTTCAATAATGCTATTTTTTTTTTTTAAAATTTAAAAACTGGCTTCTTTAAGGTTAAGAAATTCAAAAAAAAAAGGATACTTAATCGAAAATAATGTATTTTAAAATTTTCGATTACATATCCTTTGATTAATTTTTAAGATTAGGTAAATAAAATAATAAAATACTTAATTTTTTAATAAAGGACATTAAAATTACATTCTGTATTATACTTGTAAGATTATTAACTTTTTTAAATTGGGGATTCATTGCCCTGATACGTAACCTAATAAAAAAAATATCAGCATTTCTTCAAAAGACTTTGTACGAAAATGTGTAAAAATAAATGCAATTTTTAAAGACATTTCTAACAAATTTCTTATTCAAAATAAAATTTACAAAGATAATAATTTAGTTGAAAATATCTTACGGGCAATTCATGCCAAATGTGTATGCCTAATTTTAGCCACAGCCACTTGTCTCACCTTTGTTTTGCTTTGAAATTGGGGTCACCGAGCAAATGTGCTGTGTAAATCCTTATCCACTCCTCCCTTGATTGGGAAAAGGTTGTTTACGTTCGAATAAGTTCTGTTTGTTCTAAATAATGCTATAAGGCAACGCAATTTCTAGAATTTCTTTACTAAATCCGTTTGGCTTCATTACTATATACCTGCCGACAGTAAACAGTTGTCCTTCCAGGGTGAGTGATTTTTAATCTATTCCTAACATATACGAGACGGTATGTAAGTGAAATATTGGACTCTTTATGTGTATACTTATTTTAAAATTTGTAGGTTTCGATGAATGTAACTTTACACTAGATGTGCTGTAAGTGGATATTTTTGTTGTTGTTCCTGTGTATTTCAATTTAACTTGTTATAAACATTTAAAATTATAATTAACTTGAATATTTTTTGTATAACTAGCTTTGGTATCGGTATTTCGTTGTAGACTGGTTTTTAGTCCTTTGTTACACATTGCTCATTCCACGAGCAAATTCTTTAAACAGAATGTTCAAAGCCATAACAGTATTAAAAAATAATATCCACAGTTTTGGGGAGAGTGATTAGTCGATTTTAACAATTTTAGCGCCTGTGTCTCATCCGAACGTTCTAGCAGTCTACTTTTGCACATACCTATCGAAATATAATCGAAATATTACAATGCTCTACATAGAATTACTGTAGATAGCTACTTATGAACTTAAATGGCCCATGCTTGCAGTGTTATCTCAGCTATCATGTTATATTTTCGCACTTGAATTCATTCCTTGCTTCGCTGATTAATACTATTGAGATAGTGTAAAAACATTTGTGTGTCGATGTGATAAATTGCCTGGACATGATATAACGTCTGGCTCATCTTCACATTACTGTTACCGATGTCATGTGCGTTTAATGCATATGAGTATTACGTACACGGTATGTTAAGCTTTAGTATGGTTTTAATAATAAAAGGGGGTTAACTAATAATTTAAAACCGGCCGACATAACTCAAACTGTAAACTGAGCCGTAATACTTTATGAAAATATTGTGTGGGCCGAACGAAAATAGGACAAGTGGGAAATCTGTTAAAATAAAAATAATACAGATATTGCGGGCCGCAAAGGTGGTGCTGAAGGGCCGCATGCAGCCCGCGGGTCGTATGTTTCAGGCATTTTTTTAAAATATGTCTTTTCTGATTATTCCGCATGTATGTTTAATGCATATTAATAGTAATTTTAGAGCATAATCGGGAGTTAAAAAAAAATATAATTTTGTGTTATATACATATATGACATCATAATATGACACAATATAATGAGTAGTAAATTGGTATGTTGTCAGGTGTTGGAGCATTGTCATAGCGCTGACAATTTTATACCGCTGAACGTCAGCCATTGGAAAGAACACCTTTACTAATAGAGCATGAAATTCATTTCTATTATAGTAGGGTGCAAAATAATCTTGAAATAATAATGTTGTATCTAATGTTAGGAGTCTTTGAATAAAAGCTCATTGTACACGTTCACGAATCAGAAGAAACAAAAATCAATGTTTAGATATTTTAATTTGAATCTATCTGGAAATTTGACCTTGTATATAACTATATCCAAATTAGTCTATAATTCTGTGTTATATGTTTGGCATTCAAGACATTTAAAAAAAAAAAAAAAGTAGCTCTCCTGCTTATGACAGAACACAAGTTAAGACATCAAGAGTTCTATATAAGTGCTGAGAATTTTAGTTTTGTTTTCGCTTTATTACCCCTAAGAACATTTACATTCTTTAAAACAAATGTAATGCTAAAAATCGTATGCACTTTTAAGGACAAGTCATTCTAAGATTTGCTTTGCTAGATGACCAACACGTAACATAGGACTGAGAAACCATTATACAAAGAAGAAAATTTATATGGTTAGTGATACCAGCAATGAACAATTTAAACGTACTATATTGTCGATATACAAATACAAAAATCAAATATACAGAAATAACAGATACATTAAACTACAGCACAGCTTGTGAAAAATTATAATACTAGATAAAGGTACGAATATTTATCAACGCAAACACACATGGTAATATTATTTGTATTTACGTTTTCTTGAACGTAAATGGGCCTTGGTTGCAGTGTTATCTCTGCTATCATGTCTTCTGTTCGCGGATAGGACTTATTTCTTGCTTAGCGGATTATTTTAGTGTGGTACCAATTAATTATTTGAAAATGAAAGCGCCATATGATTGATACGATACATTACACAGACATTACACAGACATTACACAGACATTACACAGACATTACACATACATTACACAGACATTACACAGACATTACACAGACATTACACAGACATTACACAGACATTACAGAGACATTACACAGACATGATGCTAGTTACAATTCGAAGACAGGTAAGTTATAATCCGGACAAGGATTTTCATCTCAGATTGGGATATTTTTTTTAATCGTGCGAGTACGTAATTATCATATTAAAGTGCACATAATACATAATTATGAGTTTTTAGACTGATTTGTCAGTCATTTTAATGAATTAAATACATATTTGTGAGTTAAATAAATATTAATGAGATAAAAATATTTGTGATTGCCACGTCCTTTTCCCGTATTGTGGTCTATATTAAACGCTTTCAGCGGGACTTTTTGGTGTGTCCTTTTTTTTTGTTTACGTTTCATCTTTCCACCACACGCATTTCGCCACGAAATACTCGTTTGAGCAAGTGGTCGTCTGACGTTCTCACGTGTCCTGCCCGGCAAAGCTGGGAAAACCGTTTAAATGGTATGAAGCTTGGGAGACCTTGTGCGAGGACCTAAGGCATCTTGGAACTTGTCCCACCATTTGATGTTGAGCATTGCTCTGAGGCTTGTCGTGTGAAAGTGGTTTAACCTTCTTGCTCGGTGTCCACGTATCAAATGCACAGGGGAGCGCAGGGAGCACAGCCGTCTCGTAGTCTTTCATTTTAGTTTGAGTGCTGATACCTCTCCTGTTTCAAACATTCCTAGGCATTTTGCCATATATTGCACTGGTTATTGCGATACTTAGGTTAACCTCGTCATCGATGGTAGCGCTTTGGGACAGTGGTCTGACAAGGTATGAGAAACTGTTTACTGCCTTTAGCCTTTCAAAATGTACTTGGATTTTGGGCTCTTCATAAGTTTTCCGAGGAGCTGGCTGGTGTAGGACCTCAGTATTTTTTTTATTTTTTTTTTTGTAAGTTAATGGTGGGGTTGAAGTTTATGCCGAAAAGTCCTTGTTTTTTGTCCTGTCATCTTATTTCAAGCTTCCACATACCTCGTTTCGCTATCTCATTCATTTACTTAGCTTGAAAGCAGTCCTTTCATTTATTTTTCTTGAAGTTTGTGCAGTCTTTGGAGAAATATCCTACATTATCTTGCGTATACGCATCTGATCCAGTGTTTATGACACAGTCGCCAGCATACTGAAAGTCTCTGATGGTGCCCGTCAGGATCTTGGCTAAGGGATTCAGGCTCCTGAGGTTGAATAGCTTACCATCAGTTCAGAATATAAGACCGATCCCAACGCTTCCTCTCTGAAGTCTTCGGTCAGCATGACAGAAAAGTGTTGGTGCTAGGACACAAACTTGTTTGGCGCCATTAAGAACAGAGAATGGCTTCAACGTCTCTACATTTTTCCCAGACCCTAACCTGCATACATATATTAATTTGTTTCACCATTGATTTGAACTATTTGGCCATCCATATTGACCATAATCGATCAAAGAGAGTCAAAAAATCATACATTAAATCTATGATATTTTTTTCACAATACATAATTACACATTTTTCAGAAAATATTTACCATTTTTTTTAAATGATTATTTTTCATGCAGAATCAAAACCTGATACCAGTGGAAGCTGCATCATAAAAATGTATATACCAACATTAACTACCAAAGGAAGCAGTTTCATAAAGATGTATAGCTCAACATTCACTACCAACTAAAGCAGTATCGTGATTGTTTATAGACCAACATTACCCTTCTACTGGAGCTGTTTATTATTTTTTTTTAAACATACGTAAAAACAAGTCTAACACTAAACAAATGGAAACATCCATTAACAAGGTTTCACCAGTCATCAATGACGAATTTCTCATGCGAGCTGTGACATTAGAATGTACACAAGACATAGATAGAATTTTGAAGGAAGCTCCTTCTTCAAAAAGATTTTCGAAACATGCTTTGAATTCCAGCTTACACATGGCTTGTAAGTTAAGATCGAAGTCCATTGTTCGATACCTTCTTCAAGCTGGAGCTGGTGTGGGTCATCGAGATGACAACGGCAACACGCCACTACTGGCGTGTGTTCAACAGAACATAGCGGACATAGCCCAACACAGAAATTTGGAACTTGTACAACTTCTACTCACCCATGGGGCCGACGCTAATGCGGGTAACCTGAGCAGGGAGACCGCTCTATACATTTCTATTACATCTTCCGTCAACTTAGCAAAGATGCTTTTAGGTCACAAAGACTTTGATCTGTCGAAAGACAGGAACGATTTGCTTCACGCGGCTGTTCAAACGGGAGACATTGAGCTTGTACAGCTGTTACTGGACGCTGGTGAAGATGTGAATCTTGCTCTTTGGTTTTATTCCGATTCCAAAGCGCCATTAATCGAGAACTTCGATCACTCAGGCGGTCCGATGATGACGTGGAGAGGTGTTCAAATAAATGTTTTTCACCTGGTAACTGACCGCTCAAACCCACTGGACATGGTAGCCATCGATTACACCATTGCCGATCCGACAAACGAGGTCGCCTATGACGTCGGGTTTGATGATTTCTACGATATTCGAGAAAAAACACCTTTGATGCTATCTTACCACCGTGGCGTGATTAATCTATTGCTAGACAGCGGGGCGGATGTCAACAAAAGGGTAGATAACTCGACACATCTGCTGAACCTGCTGTCGAGATCTTACATCAACCAACTTCGATCGAAACTGGGTCTGAGTCCCTTCAGTACTGACTATGCTAGAGATCGCGCAGTTCTTTTTGATCACCTGGGCCAAACCATGTTATTGCTTCTGCAGCATGGTGCAAATGTTGACGACGCTGATAGCAGAGGAAGGACTGCTCTCATCATGGCCTCGGAAATGAACAGCACGGGAGATATGCTTAAACTGCTTCTGTCTTTCGAGTCAAATATCAACCGACAGGACGTGAGTGGGAAGACAGCGCTACATCACGCCATAGAACGAGGCATGTCAGAAAACTTGAGAATCTTAATCGACAGTGGAGCCGACGTCAACCTCATCACGAAAGATGGGCTCTCGCCGATCCACCAGTGTATGAAATATTCCATGCACGGACAAGGTTTGACCATGTTGCTGGACAACGGTGCGGATGTTAACATGGAGGATGAAGCTGGGAACAACGTTCTGATGGCCGCATTGCATATCGGCTGTAGTACTGGTCTCATCGAAAGGTTGATCACTGCTAGGGCGGACGTGAATCACCGAAACAAGGAGGGCCTCACGCCACTTATGCTGGTTTCACAGCGTTCCCCTAATCTTGAGATTTATAAAATTTTGCTTGAAGCCCACGCTGACATTAAAAGAGTGGCTGGGACAGAACGAAACCGCAAAACGGCCCTATCTATTCTGTTAAACACACACGGGTTGGACGAAATCAGGAACGCAGAATTTCTATTGGACCATGGGGCCACTTCCGTTTTCATCAATCCGGAAATACTTCATAGGGCAATTATTTTAGGTGAGGAAAATCTTGTTGGGAAATTGATTCTTAAAGGTCTTCCTTCGGCTAATATCAGATTTAGACGCAGACTGACGGCCTGGCGGTCTAGATACCTCTCCCCACTCTCCGTGGCTCTACTCATGGAGAAAACACATTTGGTTCACTATTTTCTAGACATTGCTTTCTTAACAGAATCGGACATTCCCACACTTTCCAGAAACGCGTCAGTCCTAGACACTATTTTCTCATTCAATGAAAGGTGTTTTCCGTTAGTTCAAGAAATATCATCAAGGCCCTTGGCCTTATCAACGCTTTCCTTCATAAAAATCTCCGCTGCTCTTGGAACAGACGATAGAGAGGAAAAGGTCAGTGCCACACAACTGCCCATGATTCTCCAAGAAAGACTTCTGTTCAGAACGAAACCCCTTCCAGTACGCGATGAAATGTGCGTCCCTTATGAACTGTCAAATTATTCAGATGAACTGCTTCATGCTCTAGCTCAAAATAATCCACTTCATAAGCGAGAAGAAAACTGTCATTGCGGTCACGATGAATATAATTCTAGTGAGATATTTTCTGATGGAGAAGACACCAGGGATGATGTTATATATTGCTACGACAAAGTAGAAAGTGGTGATGATGACATCCAGTGAAAATGAACAGCGCAGAGATCATGGAATGCTTATTGACAGTTCACCAAGACATCAACATGGACAGCCTATCTCCCTATTTTTCACCAATCCATCCTAATAAGTTTGACATAGTTTTTGCAAATGATATAACTCAAATGTTACAATTGTAAACAGTTAATTGATCCTTTACCCCCTTCACTTACCCTAATTCATATGAAATCACTTTGTTTTTAACACCCCCCAAAAAATTATTTCATTGTTTGGGGGTCATACGTGGCAAATAGGAGCCAAAGTCAAAGAAAATGTTATTGTGGTAGAGAATTATTATTTTAAAAAATATTGCAGCCTTTAATATAATAATATATTAACTTAAAAAAAAAAATGTTTTTGTTTACATTGAGTAACAAGGATGTCATAAGGGAAGCAACGCACGCTTACAAATTCTTTAGAAATTTCTTCGGTGAGATCCCTTGGCCTCAAATGTTATGATAATTTCTTGTGCCGTTATCTCCGATACATTTCAGTTTAGTGTTTATAATTATCATCTTTTTTAATTTGTATACTTATGTTACTCTTTATGTGTACTTTCAGGGCGAAGAAGGCATCTTGCCGACATGTTCGTTGTTTTTTTTTAATTTTTTATTCTTTATCAGGTTTTTCCATTTCTTGTTTCGCAGATTTTCTTGAAATGTTTAAAGCACCCAAACATAAATCTATCCGTAAATTAATCCAATTTATACCCATTTAACTTATCTATTATTAATCCTTAAATATCCATTAAAATCTAATGTTCGTCTTATGTTAATGTTGTTGTTGTTGTTTTTTTTAAATCGTTTTTAAGCTACGAGGCGCGCGTGTGTGCTATAACAACTGTGGGGTATGTAAAATCTGCCATTTAAAAGGAGCTGATCCTGCTGTACAGAGGCGTAGCTAGAAATCGTACCGCCAAGATCTTTGCTGTCCCCCCCCCCTTCCTTTTTTCCGTCCAGAAACTTTTCAGTTGGCGGAAAATGCGTCCTTCTGTATAAAGATAAAAGTACCGCTCTCTCTAACCACCCTTTCCTAAGCCAGTGCTGCTGCCAACGACAGCCTAGATCTATTCCCTCTCTATAAAGATAAAAATACCGCTCGCTCTCTCTAATCACCCTTTCCTAAGTCAGTGCTGCTGCCAACGACAGCCTAGATCTATTCCCTCTCTATAAAGATAAAAGTACCGCTCTCTCTAATCACCCTTTCCTAAGCCAGTGCTGCTGCGAACGACAGCCTAGATCTAGGTCATGCTCCATAGGCACGGATTTCGTTTCTGCATTATGCTCTTTGTCAGTTTCAGGAAACTTTTTCGATGATGCAATTATTTAAACAGGTCAAGTTGTTGACCAGCACGGTTTACTGTGGTATTTTAATTTTATGTGTTGAATTGTTAACGTTAAATTTGTGTATTTCACTGTGTATGAATTTTAATAATGTATACCCTAACACCCAATGGAATGATCTGGTCTGACGGGCACAGAGCAAAGGCCAATTCATTCCTCAGTAGTGCTTCAAGCCAACAATAAATCAACGCGCGGCAACTCTTGATGATGGGGACCTAATCCTCCCACACGTGAACAACATGTGGCAGACACGACGTCGGCGCAAATCGTTATTCTTCATCGTTCCTCTGCCAGCCATCTAAATCTGGCAGCCCCCCCCCCGCCCCTCAACTCCTTTCTGCCACACCAGCAGCACCCCCTCCATCAATCCCCCCCTCCCCCAACGTCCCGTGAATGAATGAGTGAATGAACAGATCGATAGCCATTGAAGCACGTCTGGTTGGTCGTGGCTGCAACACTACACACGTGCTTAGCGCAGGCGGAGGAAAGCGCCTGGTGAAAAGATGAATGACCGACTTTATCACTTACCTAGCACTGCGGCTGGCTATAGGCGGTGGTGGACTGGCACACTGGGGCGCCGTGAAATATCCTGGTGGGCCGATGACAACACGGCTGACAGGGTCACTCTGCGGGTGACAGGGTCACTCTGCGAGTGAGATTTGAGGCCACCTGCACCACCCACTCGTCCAGTGATATTTTGCCGCCTCGACGCTTCTGTCCCTGAGATTTTTTTAAGTCTGCGCCGTTTTTGTATTATAATACATTATAAATTGGTTTCTAATCAATAATCAAAATTGTAATCTTAGTGACTTGAATTGGGTTTTGGTCAATAAAAATGTTCAAAAACAACAATTTAAAAGAGACTTTCTTTTAAAAGTCGAGCTTAAAAGAACTTTATAATCTTTTAAAAGACGAGCTTAAAAGAACTTTATAATCTTTGAAAAGTCGAGCTTAAAAGAACTTTATTATCTTTGAAAAGTCGAGCTTAAAAGAACTTTATTATCTTTGAAAAGTCGAGCTTAAAAGAACTTTATTATCTTTGAAAAGTCGAGCTTAAAAGAACTTTATTATCTTTGAAAAGTCGAGCTTAAAATAACTTACTTATCTTTAAAAAGACGAGCTTAAAAGAACTTTATTATCTTTGAAAAGTCGAGCTTAAAATAACTTACTTATCTTTGAAAAGACGAGCTTAAAAGAACTTTATTATCTTTGAAAAAACGAGCTTAAAAGAACTTTATTATCTTTGAAAAGACGAGCTTAAAAGAACTTTATTATCTTTGAAAAGACGAGCTTAAAAGGACTTTATTATCTTTGAAAAGACGAGCTTAAAAGAACTTTATTATCTTTGAAATGTTTTTTTAAAACGTTATTTTTAAATATTTTTTTTTTTTAAAGTTAAATGTTTTAAAATTCATTATGGCAAAGAAAGTCTTCTACAACATTCGAGGCAAGCCCCATGGAATTGCAAGGGAAAACAAAGTCTTCAATGATTAAGAAAAGATAGTTAAAAGAAAAAAAAAATTAATTTGTTACTCACTGGTTTCTCTTGTGAGAAATTAATCTCTTGTCTTAAGTTATGGCTCGTTCACACAGTGCACAAGAAAGAACGATACCATGGAGAAATAATATAATAATAATGCGACACGCAAAAACAGTTGCCAATTACAATTAATAAGATTTAATTTAGTAATAATACAATTACATAACAAAAGAAATATAATTACAAATCATCAACTTACAGTTTGGTAGATCTTGTACCGGTACAGAGTTAACACAGTTAGGTAGTACAATGTGCCAATGAATAATGATCAATGATCAATGCGAATAAACATAAAAGTACACAAAGAATAATGCACGTCTCGTAAAGTTAAAAATATCTATCAATCTCCTTCTCTTTCCTTCTCTCTCTCTGTGCCTGTCAATCATGTATGTATGTAGGTCTACCGACGCGTCTAGAAACGCCCTTACTTTTCTAATACAACCGAGAACGTTCCATAAGATACTAGTAGACATACTAACCAAGTTTAATTGGAAGTCGGTGGTAAACACGCCACATCAAACGAATAGGCCACACCCATCTATGAACGTAGCGTGAGCTAGGGGTCAAGCAAAGTTCAAGCACGGGGAAAAAGTGTCATACATTACAAATGTATAATTGTATTTTTGAACACTAACATTATAGCAAGTGATATGTCGTAGTGAACATCAATTTATGTGGGTTTCGATTACCTTTTGTTTCATAAATGAACATCAATGCATCTTATATTTCTTATGGAACATCAACAAATCTTATATTTCTTATTGGGCATCAATGTGTCTTATATGTCTTACTGGATAGAGCCCGCCAAACACCGGCGACAGCAAGGCGTGAACTTCCCATCTGCTAAAGTTACTTGACAAAACATGAACTCAAGTAACGCACTTTTAAGAAACCCAATTTTTTGCTATACCCCTTCCCCCAATGATACGTCACTGAGCACATTTTATTTCTCGCCCATGAATTATATTGAACATTCTGATGTCCCGACCACTTTTAAACCAAAATTGTTTACACCATACTTAAATAGAGACAATTTCGTATTCCGAAAAGAAAATGTTACGCTAAAAACGCAGTTGGTTATTTTTAAAAAAAAAAATCATTTAGCGTCTATAGCTATCAGGAATTATATTTTGCGCGCTACTGAATTCATCATTGAACCATACTTTCTTTCAAACATAGAATAATTCGTTATATACTCTCAATCCCAAATACGCTGAATAGGAAGCAGCCAGCTTGTTAGCGGTCATTCGCAAGTTATGTCATGCTCGAGTGGGGAGGGGGGAGGAAGGTCGAGAATCTGTGACACTTTGTGACAGTGGGTGGGGGGTCCGAACAATTGCTGAGGTAAATTTTTTTAACTTTAAAAAAAAATAAACTTAATTTTTTTTTTTTTTTGGAATTTTTTTTTATTAAATTAAATTTAAAAAAAACGTTATTGATTATTGCCTCAGGTATCATCAGTACCGTTAAACTCAGTCGTGCACACCTTCTGTGCAAATAGAAAAATGACGTAAAAACTGTTTTAGCCATTTTAAATTCGGCTAATGGATAACTTCTTTGTTTTACGTCACAGTTTTTAAATAATACTACATTTCAATCCATTGTGGGAACATTTAAAGAATAAAATAAAAGATTAGTTTAGTTGTACAAATTTTATGCATGTTTTGAAAATTTTTAAGTGGGATGTGACACTGAAAAAAAAAAGTGTGGGGGGGGGAGAATTTGTGACACTCTGCGACAGGGGGAGGGGGGGTCTAAAAGGGTCTTTTTTTTTTTTTTTTGGCGGGACGAAATTTGTGAACGAACCCTTAGGAAGCAGTTGAAAATTTTTAAGTGGGATGTGACACTGAAAAAAAAAAGTGTGGGGGGGGGAGAATTTGTGACACTCT